CCTCCCAGCCAGGCTTCTCCAAACGCTTCCCCGTGTCAGGGGCCAAAAGTTTAAAGAGGGCAAACACAGAGCAGAGAGGAGAGGCTGGCCGGGAGCAGGAGAGAAGCTGGGGCTCCAAACTGCTGCCAAGTCTGCGGGCCTGCCGCACACCCCAACTCGATGAGCAGCACGGGGAGGTGATTTAAGTGGTAAGGTGTCGTTCACTCCTTCTTAACCCCAGGAAGGAGCAGTCTCAGTGCCCCTCACCCAGATGTTTAGCAGGGAGCAGTTACCTTGCCTCCATGCCAGGTAAAGCACTTCCACTGGGCTGTTCTCAAATCCACAGGGGCAGAGGCTGCAGCTTCCCAGTGTGGTGGTCTGCACACATCTCCTGCTCGCCTGCTTTGTCCCAGAGGGCTGCTGGTGGCCAGGATTAGCTGCTCCCACCAGCAGACGTGACCAGTTACACACCTCGTGTCTGCTAACTGGCCTTGCAGCCACATTTAAGCCCCCCATGAGACACTCGTGGGCAGATTTTCTGCAGCAACTCCTGGGCTGCTCCCAGCTGCGGTAGCTCGCCTGTCACACAGACCTTCAGTGGAAAACACGAGGCCAGATTCTCTCTAAACCTGCGACCTGTTCCACTACGCACAGGGAGGCAACTGTGCTGCTGTGCACAGCCCCGGTTAGAGCAGTGGTTACTTGGCTTGGCTTCACCTCTGTCATGTAAAATCCTTATGGGTCCTCCTGGTTCCAGTGTTCGGGACTGATGAGTCTTCCTTCTCTCGCAGCATCTTGTGGATAACTTAGAATTGTTTTTTCATGCTAACACAACTCCCTCTCTTCCTGGTAAATTGCCTCATTTTGTGCTATTGGAAAGTGCTTAAGTCTGGATTGGTTCAGTGCTCGCATCTTACGGCTGCTGCTTTCTGTGTTACGGGCACGGGGCAAGGACAAAATACCAGCAGATACCTGACACCACTGCAGCCTCAAAGCGAGCGATAGTAGGAACTCGTCCTGTAGCCTCAGATGACTTTCATCTGCACCGCTTAAAAACACGGGATTGTTTTTGCAGTTAAGTGCGACACCGCTGAGATGGCAGCGGATAAAAGTGCGGCGCTATTGAAGTTAGGAGGAAAGCTTCATTTTGATTTTAACAGCACCAGGGTTTTACCTCTGGTCTTTCTGTGCCAGGGAAATTGGGAATGGTCTTTGCTAAGAAGATCCTGTCATGTACTGCCAGGTCTTGCTAGCTTTTAGTGTTGAGCTTTAGTGCCTCGTTTCATGGGTGGTCCCTGTGCCTTCGACAACTGCTCGCACCGCGGTTGGCAGCTCCGACCTGGGAAAGACGTGGAGGACTTCTCTGGGCTCAGGGTCTGGCGTTGCGATAAGATGCAGGCAGCAGAGATGATTAATGGTTGTGCGAGTAACCAAATGCATGAAGCTGTTTGGGTATTACCTTTGGGTTAATACCTAAGATTACAATCTGGGAGTGAATTTCAATTCAAATGCATCTAAGTCCTGACAAGCACATGACAGCAAATATGTATGCTGATAAATCTATTGATTCTGTACCTAAATTGCATACTGTAAGTTGTAGGATTGCATCAAATAGGCTGACATGCCCTTTGCTGCTCAGCTGTTCATCCTGTGCTGTATTTCTTGTACACCTGCGGTGTGATCCCGATCACTCCTCTCCCAAGTAACCTCCCTGATGCTCCCAAAACGGAGGCAGCTCCATCCTGATCTCCTAGCAATTAGTGCTGAATTCTCTAACATGGTGTTTCAGAGCAATTAACATTAATTAACCTTAAACCTTAAAAGATTTCCGAGTGTTGCCCTGCATGCCTGTGAGGTGCCAGCTCGGCGCTGTCGGGCTCTTGTTGGTGAACCCACACGAAGCGAGCTCTGCTGGGCTGCTGTCTGCTCAGGCAAAGGCACAGCACCATGTACTTCAACCTGTAAATTGCATATCTTGTTTTTTTCCTTAATACATTTCTGTGCAATACTTTCCAAACTCTGTTTTATTGTGTTCCACATTTAAAAAGCCACCTGGATATTCCTGCTCTTATTCTTTTTTTTTTTTTTTTTTAAACTATCTCTAAGCCTTTCTGCATGTTTTTGTAATGTGTAAGGCAGACACAGACAGAGGTTTCAGAAGACTTGTACAGCTGGTAGCCTTTTTGATGATTTCATTTCACAAATCTTTTGGAATAAATGTGGGTATTAACGAGAACAACGAGAAACATGTCAGTTGTACTAATCTGCTTTGGAAAAATATTAACAGTTTTGTCAGTTCAGTGACACCTGTGCATCATTTTACTACAGCGGAGTCAAAAATAGAGCCTAACAGATGTATGGTAAGTACACAAAAGGGGTGAACCAAGGAAATATCATAAATCCTTTATACTAGAACATTTTGTAAACGCTTTAAAGAGTAGCAGATGAGAATATATCCAGGTGTTTTTCAAACCCTGCTGGCTGATTAAAGCGAACAGTAAAAAGCTGAAGTGACAGGACTGAAATACGTGAAGATACATGCACGGCATTGGGATTTACACAAAAGGAATACCTGGTTCATAGGAATGGCAAGACTGCCAGGCATGGAAAATAGAGCCTAGCCTATGAATATTTACAGTTTTCTCCAAGTGGGAGAACTGGTCGTGGGGAATCTCTGTAAATACCTTGTTATACAAGAAGTAAATTTTTACTTGTTTATCTAAAGTAAAACATTCACTGCTCTGCTGAAAGAAAAATGAGAGAAATGATGAGTTGAAAGCATCCAGCGATCCTGCCAGCTCTCAGCAGCGTCTAGGGTCTTCTTGTAGCAGTGAAATACTGAGTGCTAGAAGAGGATAATCAGTTTTATGCATTTTTAAATTAATACGAAATGCTACTCTCCCACTTTTGCTGCACAGCCTGGGTTTTAGAATGTCAAGAAACTATTTGACATTTACAAGAGACTGCAGGCACTAATACAAATCATTTCTATCCATTTATCCATTTTAACCACCATGCTGAGTGAATTGTTGGCTCTGTGCAATTAGTCTCTGTGCTCTGACAATATAGCCACAGATTATCAGGAATTCTATTAATAACGCAAGGTGGAAGCTCTGTTCTCCAAGCCTGTTATTTTACTTCTAGAAAAAAAAAACTCATTTCTTATAAATCCGATATAAATAGGCCAGCTGACAAGTATCCCAAAAGAACAGAGTATGCTCGGCATAGTGAGATTTCAACTGACGTACGTTTGGCCAAAAAAAAAGTTATCCAGGCTGTATTTGTCTGAAAGTTTAAAAATAGGAGCTTTTGTCATCTGTGGCAGGAGAGGCCAGGTTGAGTCATGATTGATGTCACTCGAAAGAACACTTTAAGCTTAGAAAATGACATCAGAATCATCAGAATTTAGGGAGATTTAGAGCGTTCCCTGAAGCCAGGGTGCTGGGGATTCTGGAAGAGACTTTGTGGATGATACACAGCGTGCTGCCAGACATCATCTGAATGGCAGCCAGGAGCCACGGTGCTTTCAGATTACATTTATAAACGATCGGTATCATTTGTTTTAGTCACATTCATTTTGAGTTAAATGCATGTTTCAAACTGTTTGCAGTTTTTCAGCCTCGGTGCGAGCCCCAGCTTCACGCCAGAGCCGTCTGTCGCTCCCTGACCTTACACGACAAGCTTCCACGAGCAGCCCGGAGCGCTTTCCCTCTCACCAGCAGTCTGCACACACAGCGGGGGCTCTTTCCATTTGCTTTTCTCCCGTTTCAGTGCTCGGTTCCCGACGACTTTACTACTGAGCGCTTAGAAGTCAGACTGGAACAGTCCACGGCTATGTCAGAGGTATTTCGTCTAGCTCCCAGGCTGAAACCAAACTGTCTGCCTGTCTGCTACTGCTCATGCTAAGATGGAAGGAACACAGCAGATGAAGTGCTGGGGTTTCGCCGTGGCGCAGATAACCAATAAATCGTGTGGTGCTGGCTGTGCTCTTGGTCACGGCACGGCCGTGTGGAGCTCCTGTTGTGCACAACAGCCAACCTCCTTGGAAGACTTTCTTGCATTTCTCCGCTGATTTCCCACACGGAGCAATTCTTTGCTCTTTAGAGTAATTTCAGAGTGAAAATGAATATATTTAGTGTAAGCGCGCGGCGCTACTTTTGGTTGGGTGAGACCTGTTTTGCTTTTAAATAGCTTCTAAGTGTAACGAAAGAACACTGCAGATCCCATTTCCAACAGATAAATTTGTACTTATTACAGTTAGAAGCAGCATCTTTTGTTCCTAAAAATGACAGGGATTAGTGACAAAAGGAGTGGTGCGGTTGCTCGGCTACACGCCTTTGACAACACTTTGTGCATAATCAGCTTTCACCCAAAAACGAGTTCGTTCCAGGAAAAGTTCATCACGCGAGCAAAGCTCGTTTGTTCACTAATTGCTGCCACTACTTGCCATTTAGATCTGTGCACTGTGCTTCTTCCTGCTCGGTTTGAGGAGCTGAGTGGTGGATGAATTATTCTTGGCATTGCCAATATTGTTTCAAGCCAATGAACACCTGTGCAGGACTGGCCCATGGAGTCGTCCATCCCTGTGGAGCATCTGGGCAAGCCCCAGTCCTGGTCCTGCTGCTGCCAGCGGGGCCCCATGAGGCGCAGGAATCATCACAGGGATCCTGCCCCCTGTGCACCAAACCCTCGTGGTGGTGGAAGTGGCAGAGAAAGGGAGGGGGACTCAGGTGGGCTACGAGAGTGGTGAGGGAGAGGGAGGCGCGAGCTATTCTTTGAGAGTGAGCTGCTTTCCGTAGGTTGCCTGTGCTATTCAGCATGTTGAAAAGACCTGCTCTGGAGGATGAATCACTGTGTAGTAAAAGCGCAAGATTTGTGGAAACAGCACTTTGTTTGCTGCAGCCCTCGGGACGTGCGTAGCGTTGCGGCAGCCAGCTCTAGAGAGGAGAAGATGTTTTCATGATTAAGGCATGAGCGCAGCCCCGGGGAACCAAATCGTATCCCTGCCTTTGCCACAGATTTCCTGTGTGATATTAGTCACATCTCACATGTGGTTGTTAATTGTGGTTTTCTTGGTGCTTGGTATTTGTAGGAGTGCTGAGCACTTGCAAGTGCAGGCGGGAGGAGCAGGAGCTGTGCGTGGCTGCAAGCGCTGCCCTGCCATGGGTGCCGGGGATCCAGGCACTGCACATCACAACCAGGCACTCAAGGAAAGCCAAGGCAAAGATTGCAAAGATAAATCTTCACCAGTTTAATGCATGTGGCTGGAGAACAGCTGGTAGGGTCCTGTCCTTCCTAAATGCCTCCTTCCTTGCACCTAAAAGAAGAACAGCGAATTTGAAGCTGAATACAGACACGGTGTTTGTGAACCATGCTGAGTTGAGGATACGTCTGCAGATCTGAGGATTAGTAATGTTGTCTGTCCACGATCCCTCGTGCTTTTTTAACCTTTTAAATGGAGATCTCATATCACAGCCCAGTCACTAAAGATCATCAAAAAAGTAATATTGTGAGTACATTACATTTTTACTGACTATATGCAAAGCAATCACCAAGGATTCAGTAGCCTCTGTGTTTTTTTTTTCCCCATAGTCTTAACATTGTACAGCAAAAAGACAACACTAAGAATACTACACTGCTTTCTTGGTAGAAGTTGAGAAAGATACATGAAGACACTTTACTGAAAGTACCCTTTGAAGTAAAGAGTTACCCATCTGTTTATTCTCCAAACAAAACATGATGGCTTATATAATGATGTGGTGTTATCTTATAAAATCACAAATTATATGAAAAAATATGTATAGGATTGATATACAGAGCTATCCTTAAGAGGGGAAAGCAAAAAAAAAAGAAAAGCAGGTTTCATACAAAGCCAGAACAGGAACAGGGAAGTGTGTAACTGCAGGTTTTTGTAGCATAAATAGCTTTGTCAGCTTACACATACTTTGTCAGTAACTCCTTGATCTCACATGCTGTAATCAAATGCCAAGGAGAATTACAATTTTTTAGAATAAATGTGCCATTTATTAGTTTACCATATTTTTTCAGAAAACTCTTCTATCCCCCTTAGTTAATCACACCTTAATAAAACATTGCATTTGGAAGTGTCTGTTTTATGTAACTGCAAGAGGTGTGCTCAGTTCATCCAGAGGCATCAGTTCCTTAGGTGACTAGAAAACTGCATGATTTTTTTTTCTTTTAGGACTTCAGATCGCATACTAAAATGGAAAAAAAGCGTTATTTATTTCTTCATTTTGTTTATTTGAGATGTAGCCTATATTTTCCTTGGAACGCAGAGCCACACGCTCAGGATGCACGTAAGGAACCGAAAGTGGAGTTCAGGCGATCCAAATCCACAAAAGCAATTCAGAAAACCTCTGCTTGACTGACTGTAAAATCCGCTGTCCTGGTCCTGTCAGCCTCCTGAGTGCCAGTGCTTCAGTTTCTCTCAACTTCCAGCTCCAGCATCTTTTAATGCCAGGGAAAGACAAGTCTGCACCGCGTCCCCATCAGCCTGTGCACCCTGGATGCACTTCTTGGCATCACGGGCTGTTCCTGCCTCTGGCTCAGGTCCTGCACATGCAGCTGCGTGGTGGCTGCTGACAACCAGCGTGGCATTTCATTATAAGCTAAAGTAGAGAAGGAAAAACAGCCAGAACATCCTGTACTCTTATCAGCATGGCAGACAGCACACAGCGCTTTCAGGTAACACATTCTACTTACACATAGAACAAAATTAGGTTGAATTTCATTGTAAAGTCTCAATACAGGGGGATAGAAATCATTTTCTTCCCCTGAAGATTGCACTTGGTCCCCCACCATTTGGAGTATTTAATTGCAGTTCTGCTTGCTTTAAGCTGAATGGAAGTTTTGTACCAAATTAGGGCAGTGAAGTCCTTCCACGCAGAAAACTACTGAGCTCACTGGATACTTCTCTGTCGCGCTGCCAAACCATACAGCAATCACGCTGAGGATATGGATGGAAGAAAGGTTGCTCTGCACAATAATTCCGTATAGGAATCACCATTGATTACAGAGAGGATACTTTATGGGTAGTGGTAAATTATGAGGTTTCTCTTGTAAGTGAGAACATTGATTTACATGAGTAATGCAAAGGCTCGCATGTAAGCTGAACTCAGACTTTCACTGTCAGCCCTAACACATCTATTTATACCACAGATCTGTGCTTAGCCACTTATATTTAATTATAATCAGTTGTGGTGCCTCCATTTGCTGTGTTTACTCAGAGAATCGCATTTCTGAGGTCAAATGCAATGACAGTTATACTGTAGTTATTTGGAGACAGGCTTAGTTGTACATTCTGCATGTATCTGAAGACAGATACTTTGGGGGAGAAGAAAGGATGGGTACAATTCATCCGTCCTTCTTTACAGGAGTCCTTTTCTCCCACATCACTTTTACTCAGGGAATAGCTGTGCTACACAACGCAGAGCTGTGGAGAGGTGGCCAAAGCAGTTCGAGAGGAGCCAGCTTGGGTAACTGGAAGCAGTTTAACCACATCGCTTAGTGCTGCCTCCTGTCTCATTTACCCTGTTTCTTTGCAAAGTAAATTAGCTTTGGCAAAGCATCGCACAAATGGGCTAGCCTGCTTCCAGTGCATGAGCTAGCTTTGGCATCAGTTTCTACACCACGCTCACTGTGCAGCACAGCGTATCCAGTAGGAGATGCAAAGGGCTTCTGGCGTACAAATGTGCAGCTTTGAGTCCTCAAATTCGGTTCTGTGCTTCCTCATTTAATGGCACCAAACTTTTTTTAGCACTTAAATGTCACTGCTTCAGATGTAGCGGTGCTACCAAACCAAAATATCGAGGGAATAAAATGCCATTATAAATGAATCACTACAGCAATGTGTTTATATGATTAAATATGCTTATATTTCCTTACTTGACTACTAATGGGCAGTAGGTTCCTTCAAGACCTTCAGCCTTACTGCTTCCAACCGCTTCATAGAAAGACCATCCTCATTTCCAGTGTGGAGGACTTTACTGAAATCACAATGAATCACACACCTTTTACACTGAAACCTCAGCAGAAAAATGTCATTAATGTAACTAACCTACGTTTCACAATGTCACGGGTACTAGATATTTTGAGAGTGTGGTAACATCAAGTTTAACTGTCTGCTGCTTGACCATATTGCTGATGGACCAAATCTTTCTTCCTGAGAAATCTACTGACACCAATGGCAAGGGGAGAGGATACTAAAGTCTTGCCAGGTATGATTTTCCAGTGGGGACAGAATCCCCTTCCAACTCAGAAGTGATTTCCAACCACCCAATAAAACAGTCCTGGCATCATAATCAGCGACGTTTTCAATACCAAAGCAGTAGATGCTAGCTTGATATTCCAGGAAAAATTACATGCAAAATATTCAGTGCTGTTCTTCCCAGTCTAAACACAGCGCATGTATTTGCATTTTGAAAAAGTGGCCTGCTTCATCCCCAAATTTTACATTCAGAGTTGAAGGCTTGCTGGAAACCCACACCTCCTGTAAAAAAAAATGAAATATTCATTTATGCATAAACTGGATGTAAAAAGAATAGACTGTTTTGCAAAATAGATAGTTTTAATTTCCATCTCTGCTTGAACTAAAAAATAAATGAAGATACAACTAGATGCAACTCTTTCTACAACAAAATAACTGACTACACAAAACGCGAGAGGGCTTCAGATCCTCTAAAACAACCTTAATGACTCTACATTTCAACTAAAATGCTTGATTTTCTACAGTTATTACAAGAAGAAGAAATGGAAAAAATCAGAGGAATAAATGTACCCATATGGAGGACTCTAATATCCATGGCACAGATCTTGAGAATAATACCAGAAAATTGGCTGAATTAACTGTATCAGAATGTACACTATGCAAGAAGACATGTATATGTAACACGCACTTCTGCTTCTCTCAATAAAAATAATTTTGATAAAAAGACAAATTTCCTCCCCGGTTCGAACTTCTACTGTAAATGGATTTGGAAGGGAGCTATTCCCATCCATACAGCACGTATTTTTCATCTTCACATTGACAGAAGATGTCAGTATCATGAAATATAATCTATGGACTTCACAGAGGGTTGCTTTTTAATTTTGTTTTGTTCAATAGCTTGCATAGTACAACCACTATGAGGCAGAAACTCAGATAAATTATTTTTCTACCAGGCACTGGATTAATGCTCAACCTTGCAACATCCAACTCTTGCTCCATATTAACTTTACAGCCAATTGCTGCTCGAACCCTGTAGCGATTTGGCTTTACTCTGGTCCCTACTCCTCTCAGAATTTCACATTTTCCCATATAATATTACCATACCACCATAAATGATAGAAGCAGTCTCTTCAAAACCCGTGATTACTCCAAGGTGCTTGAATTTCTGCCTTAAAATGACCTACAAAGAAGAGAAAGCACCGTGATGTCTTTTCTTGGCCTTCTTTCTCATTATATAACGGGGGAAAAGTGATTTGGATTTTTTTTTTAATCTTACTTTCACAAGAAAAGTATGCAGGAATTATCCAGAATTACTATAGGTGATTGTCTGGAGAGTGAAATGGGGCTATCACAGAGATAACTGCAAGCTGAATACCTGAAAAAGATTTTAAATTCTCTCTCTCTTTTTTTTTTTTTTTTATTAGAACTGTGTAGTGTAATATCTTTCGCTTGTTTGTACCAGCATCTAGTGTGAGACAGCGTTCTTCATGAAACAGCCAAACTCTCTTTCCTGATTAATATCGCCAAGTTATAGTCCCAAATACTTTCCACCAATACCTCTCATTTTTCCTCTAGGAAAAGAAAACCATAAATGGAGACTACTGATGCTTCTAATTTTAAAACAGTCTCCCATTCACACTCCCACCCCAAAACAAACAACTCAATTCTTTCTTCCCTTTTCCTCCTTAAATAACGAGGACAATTTTTAAAAACCACTAGGAAAGCAAAGCAAAGCAAAAGGCGTGTGGGAATGTCGGTAGCTTGCACTTGCAAAGGTTTATGTTTGAAAGTAGGAAACACTCTTCGATCACAGTATGAGACAAACTGGTCTGCAGTTTACTTCTAATATCGAGTTATTTCAAATGTCTAGCACCACAGTCTAAATTAACTGAATAAGTGCAGCTGGCATTTTTTTTCCCTACATTTTAAAATTATTTCTCATGTTCTGTTTTACTAACCAGAAATTCAAAATCTTTTCTAAAGTGCAAAGGGAAGTTTGTAGGGATACCAGTTTGTCCACTCCTGATACAGACTGTTTTGGGTAAATATTCAGTATTTTTTTTGGTGGAATATCTACTGTTTTGGAGAAAAATATCACTGCTGAACTTCCATTAATTTTTTATAATAGAAATTGGAGTGTCTGATTTATATTGAAGCCTTAAAAGATTTCTGTATCTTTTTGATGACTGTACAGAAGCCATATTAACTTTTTACTTACAATCCAATCCATTCATAAAAGTAATTCAGCTACTGGACAAGCTCTAAAAAAGCTCAGAAGCTTGTATGAAAACTGAATTGCCATGCTTAGTCAGAATAATTAACTAGTTCTATAATAAATGAACAAGTTTTAGAAAACAAACAAAAACAAACAAAAAAAAAAACATTTTATATAAACATCAAAATTATAGACCGTTCCTTCTACCCAGAAAAATACATGCAAGCAAAATATTAAATTTTGATGCAGGGAAGCATCAATCAGAAATGTAAAGAGAATCAGCCACTTAATCTCATCTGTGCACACCGGGCTGTACTCCTACATGAACCACTTAACATGGCTTACGGTGTCAGTTCTTGAGTGACTCCTGTAAAATCAGCATTTTAAAGCAAGTCATGAAGTGATTCATACAATAAATAACTGTGCTCCAGAATATCTTTCTTCACAGCTTTCCTTTTCTGTGTTATTATTCACACATTTTAAAAGGAGAAATTTCAAGACAAAATATTACTTGAAGAGGGAGTTGATTGAGGTTGAAGATGTAGAAGGATTGTAGGAATTAGATATTGTAGGGATTAGAAAGAAAAATCCTTGAATGTAATTATTCCCCAGTAAAGTATTACTAACTCACCACGTTAAAGCCCATGATAACCTGAACTATATCTTCTTCTGATGCTACAAAGAAAACATATGAATGAGCTTTGTCTTTAAAAATCACAGTCTTCTAACCTGGTACTCCAAGCCTTATTATGACATAGTCACAGCCATGTGCTTATTACGATACTGATTTTTTTCTTCCAGATTATACTCACAAATATTCAAAAGGCAGTAGTAACCAGAAATGAACAAATGAAGAGAATAAACAACCATCTAAAAGTAGAGGGAATCACAGTGCAGTGACAATGTTCATATTCCAACATATTATATAATTTACTGATAAAAAACTTATTAAATCACATTCAATCTTGGACTGTAGACCATGATTCGCATCTGGAAGCCATTTCTACAAAAGAACAGCAGAATCTCTGTTATTGTCATTGCTGGGAAAATAACTATCCAGATATTAATCTATAACTTATTAACCAAAATATTTTCTTGCTTTATTTTCCTTGAAGACTTCTGAAGGAACTGTCTCTTTGCCAGACACCCATGCACAAACCTGCATACCTTTTTGTTCCTTGCACTGACTCCCAACTGAAAAACGGACATTTTTATTTTTTAATTTTGATAGTCAAGACAGTATATATATTGCACAGTGTCCAATCTTTAATAAACCTCAGTTCACATCATTTGACATTTTTGAAGCACATAATTACTAAGAAAACAAGAGGTAAGTAGATCACATCATGGAAATCAGAGACTCAGTGAAAAACGAGTAGTCATTTGCTTTATAAGGATTAGGTTTTGAACATTGTCTTCCTTAAAAAGACATGCTTAAAGAAGACATCAACAGATTCATCGCATCCTCTTTCTTTCTGTGTTCTCATATAAGCTCTGTTTGAGTTGAAACCCTGCCTGTTCATAAAATATGAAAATAGGAAACTCCCTATTAAAAAAAGATGGAACAATGGATTATTAGATTTTAACATGCATTACAAATGTTCATTACCAACTCTAAGCACCTAAATATTGCATTTAAACACATACAAAGTGAAGTAAATGCAGCATAACTAGATTTTTTATTTCCCTAGCTGAGCTCTTTTCACCAAAACACTGGGACTTTTATTTCTTCTGTGAATGCCAAAAATATGTAAATAGTTGCAACAAAAGCAAGCTAATGAACAATAAACAGAAACCAACAAATATGATCTCATTTTCTCCTGATTTTCAACTTGTCTGACAAACTGCCTATGAATAGCTAAACTGCCACTTAACAGAAGGAATAGATGATATTATTTACCTTGAATGGCCTTTTGATTTTATGTAAGCTTCAAGAACTGTTTTTTACAACTTGTGTTACTGTTCTACTTTAAAAGCAATACTCTACACCCTATTCCACTATAATGTGAGGAAAAATATACAAGAAAAAATGCTTACACATTCTGGCTGCAACTCTGAGATTGTAAAAAATTTTCCGACTGCCTTTCTCTCCATGTTAAGAAATTCTTCATATTCCCCATTTCTTTGTGCCAGTACCTAATGATCTCATCTTTGACTAAGCTCAGGCAAACATTTCCCCTACTGTTTTATAAAATGTCTTTGACATTAAAAATGACTTACAGTAAAAAGTCTTTAGTACATAAACGTGCTACCACTAGTTTATAGCACTAGCCAAACACAGTGCAAATGCCATCTCTTGGTGGACTCAGCCCCTGAGTATGCTGGTTTTGAGAGCAAATTACAACTTTATTACCTGGAAGGTTTTGCACTGGTTTTGAGTCACTGCAAGAATGCTTCCACACTTCTTTATGCGATTACTTGAAACTTGAGCTGTCAGACAAAATTTTCTAAGATAACCATTTATATTCTTGTGCTGGGAGGTATAACAGCACTGTTAAATCAAGTCTGCTAAAAGCAAAAAGTGGTATTAAATAAGAATATCCTTCAGTCCAGCTAAATAAGTGAGTCCCTAAGTGCTTGGTTTTCAGTGACAGCTGACTTAAGAAGGCATGACTTCTTGTCATCCAGGAAGACAAGCCCAAACACAACCAAGGGAACAACCTGGGGCTTAATTACCAATCCAATTAGCAGCAGCAATGACTTGCTACAGCCAACTTGTGTCTGAAAACCTACAAAACACTACAGAGTATAGAGACTATGAGCAGAAATTGTTCGTATTGCATAGGGGAATGAGTGAAGAGTTTTGGCACTGAAGAATGCTGCCCACAGGACCCAGCAAGGGCAGCCATTAGGTTGAGTGGCTGCAGACCCATACTTGTGTGTGGACTCCACCTGGAAGGGCCTGCACCCACAAGCTCTGCCTAGGCTCCCTAATCTTTTCATCTGACTTGAACCTCTGGGAAAGAGTTCACCAAGCAAAACTGCCAGTAGGATGCTGTCCGTGTTGAATGAAGTTGCTCTTAGAGACCAGGTAAGCTAAAAATCCAATTAAACTTCTAGACACCATGCAGCATTGAAGGGATGTTGTGTCTTGCTGGAGGACTGGCCATAGTCTTCCTTGTGGTAGAAAGAATATGTTCAGGTGGCACTGCGATGTAAAGAGGAGAATAAAATTATATTAGCAGAAGGAACTAATTATTCCATGAGCGGCAAAAGTAATGAGGTCTGACTTCTTATCAAATTAGGGGCTTTGTCCCCTTACCTTCTGCTGCCTTCTCCAAAAAATACCCTCTGGGCCAGGCTGAGGTTACTCACGCTAATTAGCTAGCACAGTAGGAACAGAATGCCTGGCTAGCTGCTTACTGCAGAACATCATCTGCAATTTATATACCTGCCTTTGCCTCAGGAAAGGCATTAAGTTTACTTTCCCCTCTATTCAAATACCCCAGGTTTTACAGAACTTGGAGGACCGAAATTATTTCTAAGATTACAATCCTCTGTGAAACAGACCTTGAATTTGCTATCAGGACCAAAAGGTAGAGGCAGCATATGATAAATTCTTTTCTTTACAAATGGACTTACATTTTATAAGAATGAACTGTGATATTATGCTTCAATCCTGAAGAAAGCTACAAACTCACTGACTGAAAATAAAAGTATCAAAGAAACAATTGGTTGTATTATTCAACTTCAGGAAGACGACAACCCCTAACATGATCTGAAAAACAAATGCAATCTTAGAATGCAGAAGCTGAGGAACTTCCAAAAGAGGTGAAGACTATTAATGTCATTTTAAAGGGTCCTGGTAAAATATCCTTACAAATACTGCCATGGCTATTTAAGAAAAACAAGTTCACACTGGAACACAAGCAAATAAGGGACACTAAGATGGTAAGAGAAATTAGTAACTTGCAAGCAGAGACTGAAGGAGTTAACTTGTTTATCCTAGGAAAGTGAAGCCCAAGGGAAAATATTCTAACTCAGAAATTGGATGTAAAAACTAAGGGGGTAAAATAGCTGTTGAAAATACGGTGAAGGACCAGTGCTGGTGCAAAAACAAATAAACACAAAGTCGTCACACAAATGTAAGTTAGAAAGTCAAGCAGATGGTTACCAGTCTTCAGAAGAGCTGGGATCTCAGCAGTCTTCCCATGAGAACAGCTGAGCTACAAAGCAGAAAGGGGAAAAGTACCTCCAACCTGTAGGCCATCCATAGCCCTCTAATGTCTAATACCAGATTCCTTGTTGCTGGCTTGCAGGACGTGTTCTGCATGTTCATTTTTTAACTTATCTGCCCACAGGAAGCTCCACTGGTAACCGAGCCAAGCTCCTTTTATGGTCAGTGGAGATGCACACTCTTTGAGGGCAAATCATCCCATTTGTCTTAGCCACTGAAATATCTCCCTTTCTTGCAGTTCAGTAGAACAGAGTGAGCTCATTTAGGAATTCTATTTCTTACTCCACCGACTTCTTGCTTAAAATACTCAGCTCTGTGTGAAAACTCACTGTCTTCACTCCTCGCCGCCCGTGGTTGAACATACTTTTATTCCCCTTCACATTTTGCTGTTTGCACCTTCTGCCCATCAAGTTCAACCTTTAAACGGTTGTTATTTCAGTAAAAAGAGGAGATCTAATCTTTTCTGGAAATGCCTTCGTTGTAAGTATTCAAAAAGAAAATACACTAAGTCTTTACCCAGGCTTCTTACTAAAAATGCTCTTTCATTTTCACCTGATCAAATGATTTGCTTTCTGCCTTCTTGAAGTTATGCAGTGAAACAAGGAAAGCCAATGTTATCCTTGAGTCACCACTGTGTGGACTGCATGTACTCATGGGTAGTTATTGCTGGAAAGTTTCAGTAAGTGAAATGTACATGGACAATCATCTCAGAGAAAAAAATGCATTAATCCCGCACTGTTATTCTTCGAGATACATCCCACATACATTTCCTGGCCTTCCTCATTATTAGCGGTTTCTTACCCCGCTGAGTTCTCAGTTGGTAAAATAACTCCTGGCTGCATTAACTCTATGCTGTTGGGACAGCTGGGCTCTTCTGTGGGACTGTCCTTGAAGGGAGCATTTCCTTATGCCTTCGGAAGGACACACGTACTGGGAAGCTGAGCACAGTGTCCTCACCTCAGCTGGCTGTGCCCAGGGCTAAGCCAGCGGCTGCCATCTGATGGGTGTTGTGGTGGAGCCAGAAAATGGAACTGGGGGTGGGTTTATAAGGGAAGGGAAGGGAAACCTGGTGGGAGTACATCAGCAGCCCTCTTGCAGGCTCACCCACAGTGCTGGTCTGTACTTTCACATCTGTGTCTGAGGGTGCTGTGCTTGGAAGTCTATAGTTTCATCCTGTCCTTAATATGCAAGGACTTCATCCATTGGCACTGCCTACCCTTCTTTCCTCTACTTCTTCCAAGAAACCCTAAATTCGCATTTAACACCAGCACTTTGCGCATCACCTGCGACACTGACCCAAGGAACACAAACAGCCCGTGTTACCCTGACGAATTCAAGCTCCCTTTATTATAACGACCGCAAGCAGGGGAAGGTTTAAGCCGTGCCCCTCAGGCGCTGCACCCCAGCGCCGCCGCCCTCCCCTCGCCTCAGCGGCCGCCCCGCCGCCATTGCCGCTGTTTACCCGCGGCTCCCGGCAACGGCCGCCGCGGGGCTCGGCCCCATAGCAACGCCCGGGCCCGAGCGGCTCGGCGGGGCTCCGGGGTGCCCTCAGCTCGGTCCCGGCCGCTTTGCGGGGTCCCGGGGTCTCCTCAGCAGCGGGACCTTCCCCCTGCCGGCTCCTGCGGGTTTGGGGTGCCCCCCTGGCACCCCTCGGCTCGAAGAAAGGGTTTGGAGGCGGAGGGGGGTCGCTGGTGGGTGTTGTGTGGGGGCTCCCCAAAGCACGCGGGGCTGTGCGACCCGACAAGGAGAAGCCTTTATTCTAACCCTAACAGGTCTGCGTCACCTCCGTCTAACTGAATTAATCAAGGTGAAAACTGTTTCTTTCCCACCTGATTCTCCTGTTTCTTTAAAAAATTTTGTTAGGGTTCCCAATCCCCCCTTCCTCACTTGAAGGATTTACCTGCAGTAAAATCATTCCCAAATGTCTTTACACCTAATTACAGACATCTTTATGTCATTTTTATGACATTTTTAATTACAGACATCTTTACATCTAATTACAGCGTATTGTAGGAGTGGTTCCTTTTGATGGTGTTCCCTTTTTATTGGATTAGTAATGGTAAAACAGCATTTTCAGGCAATACAAAAGGCAATTTATGTTTAATGCTGTACATTTGCTATGAAATATTAGTATGAAAAATAAAAGTATTCTAGAGTTATGAATTGATTTTAACAACTGAAATAGCCTTGATGATTGTTTTAGCGTTAGGGCTTGTGATAATGCCCAGCATGTAGCAGAGCTGGACCTGCTGGGCAGAGGGGTGAGGTAAAGCACTGCAGAGGGTAGAACCGCAAGGACTGGTGACAACGTCTGTGGTGGGCACGTGAGTGTGGGAGGAGGAGATACGTCAGCTACCCAACTTCAGCGGGTGACATTGGTGGTAGGGGGATGGTTGTACCAGGTGAATCTTGGAGGGCTTTTCCAACCTTAATGATTCTGTCTGAGAGCTCAGTATGGTCATTCTCTGACTGTGTTTACTCGTTAAGGTGTCCACCTTCAATACAAGGCAAGACCATGGGCGCAGCGTTGGCAAGAGCAGCTCAGTGGACTGCTGCTGGCTATGGAACTGGCACACTTGAAATCACCCCTTTGAATGAAGCTCTTTTAAATCAAATCATTAAGTTTGCAGAGGACTTCAGCACCAGACATCCTCAGGAAGCAGTGGTTGTCTTCAAGGAGCCCCTGGAGTGGAAAACACAGTTGGACTCTTCAGCCTTTGGAGAGGGTTATGAGATTGAGTAAGTCTGAACTGCAGTGTGTTTTGAAGTGTTGAAGGTGAAGTACAAAGCAAAATTTTATTCATTTGGCATTAAAAAAAGCCTTAGTGTATTTGGGATGCTGAAGTGGGTGGGATTTCTTAGTGTTATATATGGATTTTTTTGAGTTAAAATGCATTGCTTTTTTGGAGTTTGACTATTCTGTCTTGGTTTTGAATACAGACCTGTCCAGTTAGCATTTGTATGACTTGCACTGTCTATTCCTAAGGCTTCTGACAATGTGTCTAACTGATTTATCCTGGGATTTATATTAATGTTAAAGTTGCTCCTGATTAAGCATAGGTTTTAATGCTGCTATTGAGGTGGATTAACAAACAAAATCTTGAATTTCAGCTTCTTTGAGAACAGTAGTCACCAAGTCCTTTATAAGTAGTCAGTGTTAATGTATTAACATGGTTTCAGTCTTAATCAACGTAGCTGTTACAGTGCTATAACTTATTTATCAAATAGTCTTAACAGTTCTTTTAGTATTTGAAAATTAGTGCTGAAAAAAATAAGAAGTTTATTCTTGTTTTTTAAGACATGAACTGGCTTAGCAACGATGCCTAAGACTTATGTGACTGTAACCCTACATAATTTTGGGGATTCTTTGAACAATGACATGACAAGGTGATCCATGATGCACAAATTCATTTTTCTTGGCTAAATAACAAAGCAACTAAAGAATTTTCAGAGTTTTCCTTGATAAGTAGACAAATTCCATTCCATTTAGATAATGCAGTAGAAATACCCTAATTCTGAGAAAATATTTTCTTCCCTTCCACCACGCAGTTCTTTCCAAAGAACCAATAGAAATATACACCTAGTACATACATTTCCTAATGGGTTACCCTATATCATCCTTTACATTTGGGGGGATTTTTAGGCACCATTTTTTTAAAGACCTTTTTTTTAGAAATCTGAAGAGAAAGTTCACTGTTCTCTACAGCTAGTCTTTAGTTTAAGTATAGTCATGATACTTAAGCTAAATAATATTTCCCCCAGATAAAATTCTGTATATGGATACATGTTTTTTATTTTTTTATTTTTCTATAGAGTCTTGGAACTTAATCTCGGACAGAACTATTAGTTATTCTTTCCTGACATTCAGCATACTACAAGCCATTAGATGTCATTCAATTACATGGGTATGAAAAACATAACTAAAGTTCACATGAAACATCATGCAGAAGGACAGCAAGTCTTAGACTATAAACTAAACTTTGTTTAAACTGTTTTTATCTTTTATCTGCCTTTAATTTATATGAAACTTCTAAGAATTCATTGACCTTCTTGAGGGAAGTAGGTTAGTGAGCAATCAGCAGTCTCCAAAAAATATACAGGCATATGAATATTGACCACAACAAAGATTCAAGCAGTGTATAGAAGAGCTTGTGTGGCTGTGTTTTTAGCATTGTATTGAAGAGGAGAAGTAGAAGGAGAGAGGAAGTAGCAAGCTTTGCTGTAACCAGGAAAACATGGTAACTTAACCCTGAAGAAAGGACTTCAGAGAGAGATTCTGAAGGATGGTGACTGAAAAAATCTGATTTGATTCCTCCTCTGGTAAACAGGATTTTACACACTGTAAATTAAAAAAGATTGAACCAAATAAATAACTGATGTTATTCCTATCTTCTCTTAACAGAAACTACCTACAGTATTATTTTTATCTGTTTAGTTATGTCAGAGTTCAGTCTAGTTTCAGGATGGATAATGTAGGAGTTATACTGAGGATGGTTAATGGAAGCAGGATAAGAAATACAGTAAGGAATCATGGCCACACAAAAAATGGGAACTAAAATGGGAGTTGGAGATATTACAAAAGGATTTAAAGCACTATCTGAAGTCTCAGATATAGATTGAATCAGTGTGGTAATTAGCAGCTTGGATGTCACAGACAGGAACCTTTCTCTACAGTGAGAAGCAAGCAAGCAGTTTTGAGCAAGTAGATATTTACATATGTGCTATGGAAGGGGAATTGACATAATTTATAGGGACCTTTAATACATATAAATACTGCATATTTACTTCTTCTAATTAAAAGGAAATATTTTTATATATAAAACAATTTATAATTCAAAGATGGTGGATGTAACTCAGAGAAAATTGGTAAGGTTAGGGCATTGTAAGGCCTTAGTCAAGAATGCTTTCAATATTCTGTAGAGGCAAAGCTTGAAGGCAGAAGAATCATTCCTACATCATTCCTACAGTCCGTGCTGAAATCTCAGAGCTTAATTGGTCTCAAGGAGAAACAACAGCTCAGATAATCCTAGAACCGGGTTTGAAAAATGTAAAATCAGAAAATTTGAGGCAAAGATTGCATATTTCTCATGCTAGCCATTTGGATCATTTGGTCATATGATATATGTCATTTTAAATCAGTTATCAGTTCTGAACACTGTAGTCAGAAAATCACTTAGCAGTCCTGTAGTTGAACATGCAGGAGACGAGTCAACATTTTGTGAGACTAAACGACAGGTGTGACTAGTCCTGTTAAGACTCCTTTTTCACAAATTTAGTCTGTCAAAATTCTGTTAAAAGGTGTTGCCAAGATCAAGCAAATGAGTTACAGGTGTTTGATTTGTAGTGAATAAAGTGGTTTACCTTGGAAGCTTTCTGAAAAAAACACATTAAATAAACTGTAAAGCTTTATCATGTGAAGCTTACATAATATTCAAGTTTCATCTCTAAAACTTGCTGTTTATTGAAGTTCCTCTTTTTAAAATATAAAATCTATTTTTTCCAGTGGAGAAACTGTTAAGTCTGAAGCCAGAGACGAGGATGGCCAGCCCTTGCTTCTCCTCACTGCATCAAATCTCAGAGTTCGCAATTTTGACCAGCTGTCCCGTTTGCTACAAATTGCTATGGAGAAAAAGTTGAAGGAAGCACAGGCTTGCCTTGAAGGTTTAATGTCTTTATTTTTTCTTTTTACATCTTTATTTTAAAAAGCTTGTCTTCTTGAGTTTGTGTTTATGAAATTTGAAGAAAGAAATGCATTTTAAGTATATGAAAAGGTGTTGATTCATGAACGTGCCCCAAAGTTCTCATCCAGGACTTAATGAAGTTTCTGTTTCTTCTTTTGTTTTCACATAAATCAGTAACAAAGAAATCTGAAATAAAGTTAAAATAAAACTGTTGATTTTCATATAGAAATTCACGTATACTGAGTAATACAGCAGCTATTGCAACAGACAGTAGGCTTAAATTTCAGCAGAAGAATGTCTCATTGGAAGCTTACAGCAATTTTTCCTTTGATTGCAGTTTAACCCACTTTTAAAATGTTACATCCCTTAAAATATTCAAGGAAAAAAATAATCTCATATGCTAAGGACATTCGTACCTGCACGACGTTCATGGTGAACATTTCCAGGTCCTTCTCACAGAAGCTTTTGAAATACAGGCACTGGTACTTTTATTGTGTCATATTCAAGTCCTAGTTTTACAAACTGACAAGACCCTTGGTATGCTGAACTGGATATCCTCCTCTCGTTGAAGGCAGAAGAGATCAGTAATATTCCTTAGTACCATTAGCAGAAATTGGATCTGCAATACTAAAATATCAATACCCACACTGGATCAAACTTAAGATGCATCTAGCCCAGGGTCCTTCACTGGGAGTGATCAACCATGAATAATAGGGAAGAATAATATGGACTGAGTATCGTGCTGAGACATTCACAGCTGCATGGGACTTCATTCTCAAGAACAGGGCAAATTGTTTTTGTAAAACCCACTGACATGAAGCTATATCACTGTTTACCAAAAAAAAAAGGACAGCTGGCATAGCTGAGGAAGTAATGGGACCATTGGGAATGTTGCTAGAAAACTTTAAACATGTTCTTTAACACTAAATCATATTTCCCAAATGATCCATTTTCAGTGAGTTAAGCCCACTGATTTCCTGTTTTGGTGATCAGCAGGGCAATTTTACACAAAAAGGGACTGTTGATAATTAATATTTACTTCTTGGTTGAATGAATCTTCTTTTTTTTTTTTTTTTTTGGTGAAATGCAATTTTGTAAATTAATAGCACAGAAATTATTCAGCAGTTGAGATAAAAAGTGTTACTCTTACCTCATCGTTTTTAACGTAGTATCATCTTATACTGATTCTGTTTCCTGTTTACAGCTAACAGAGACCCTATAGTGAAAATTCTTGGCCCTGAATATGGGACTGTTGAAGGAGAAGATAAGTCCATGTTGCATTTACTTGATAAAGTGAAAAAAGTTGATGACCCTGAAACAGAGAAGAAAATGAAAATTTTTATTCTTCTTCATCAGCTGGATATGCAACTCCTTAATAGTTCTTTAAAACAGATTTCAAAGTAAGTGCATTTCAAATGCAACTGAAGTATGTCAGCTAGTGCATTTTTTCTTTTATAGTTAAGCTAGATTGTTTTCAACCCACAACATGTGCTTTTGGTGTGATATAGAGAAATTTATTGAAATGACTTTCACTGTTCACTGAGTTATTGAAAAAACACTTTTTTTTCCCCTTAAGATTTTGATGTAGGTGTGGGTATGTGAGTGTGTGCCTGCAAGTGTTTTTGTTTTTATTGCATATGATTTGCATTTTGGTAGCAAATTGAAGTAATTTGTACAAATAACAAAGTAACAGTTAAATATTTTCAGGGAAATGTTTATTTCTTCATGAGAGCACTTTGAGTCTGGTTCATAGTTACAAGGCCTTCTTAGCTATGGAACTAAAATATCTCTGAACTAACAGATAAAAATCAAGAAAAAAATGGCAGATGACCTATCTCCAGATTTTTGTTGCTACTAATAAGACTCAGTGTTCAAGAAAAATATAATATTCTCTTTTGATATCTCTGTGCACGTCCTTTTGATGATAGACCTTTTCTATTAATTGCAGAGATGTAAGACTAAGTCCAACTGCTGTAAATAATGAAGTGAATCTTCTCAAGAATTTCTCTGGGAAAGGAGAAGACACAGTACTGGAATCACTGGAATATACATCAGGTCTGAATTTTATCACATCTAACCTTTGCATATACCCTTATTAAAGTACTTGCCTTCTGTGTGGAATGTGTTAAAATAATTGTGTTAATAAATATAAATAATTTTTTCTCCACCTCAATGTTATGAAGTAAAATAAAATATATTTTCAGATATGTAATGCTCTTCTTCAGCCTTTACTTACAGAAATAATCTCCAGTCTTCATTAGAATTAAAAAAAATAAATGGAGTCCCTGATCCTGTTAAGTGCTAGGCATAGTTGTAGTTGTTTGTTGAATTGGACCATGGGTCACAGATTTTTGCATGATTGTTTCCCAACAGAGTATGACTGCTTAAGAGTAAGATACTATTTTGGGAGCTTGATTTGTTTAAATTATATTAATCATCAGGAATAATTATTAAAATACACGTTTAAATTGGATACAAATATTCATACTAATTGTTTTCAGATTACACGTTCTCTAATGGATGCAGAGCTCCTCCCTGGAGACAAGTGCATGGAGAAATTTGTTACTTAATTATCAAACCACATGACACTGATCCATTGTGTATCACTTGCAGCACGGCAGGAGTATTTTTGAATGGAGTAAGTAATAATGAAGGCTACCGTGAAGTGACAAATATTTGTATGTGCTAAAGTCAGAGATCCATCAGGTTTAGGGGAGTGGAATTGAAGCTGTAAGACCTGCAGAGTTACTGTATTAGTACTGATGGAGAAGGAACAGTAATAAGTGCATGATAGTTTTCCTGTACTTTTAGAGCTCTTTTTCTTCAAGGTTCGTACCAGGAATGTGTTCTCTACTTTTTGCTAGGAGTGGTTGGTTAGTCTTTGCATGTGCCCTCACTGTTCTTCACACTACTCCTATATAAAGGTACTGTGGGACCAGATGCCTCTCTGGTCCCTCAGTGCTCTTGATCTGATGTGTGGCTAATATTGATGAGACGTGATATTGTCACTCATATGTATAGCTTGCATTTGTCTGTAAATCATAAGCAGTTCTTTCTCCTTTCAATAGAAACTTTTTAGAAACTTTTATTTCTTTTTATCTACTTTTCATTCTGGTTACCTCTTTCTTTACAGATGGGTTTTGTACAGGCATAATAGCCCCCGATACAGCTTAAGCATTAACCAAAACTTTGTAATATATTTTGAAGAGAGACTGATGTCCCTCGGGTATAACTTTACAAATTGCTTTTCCCTGAGAGTCTTTTTTTTTTTTTTTTTTTTTTAAAGGGAAATTTTGATGTTTTTAATGGATAAAATTAGTAAAGCATAGGCTGAGTCAGGTCACGTTATTTTCTGATCCTTTTAGCCATCCACTGCAGTGCATTGGAAGCTCACATTTAGTTGATTGTTTGCCATGAGCCCTAAACCCTTTACAGTTGAACTGCCTACAGTGCAATGAATTTTAACTGAGAGTAGTTACTTGCAGAATTGTCTATAAGATCTTCGTTATTTGTTGGGATCTGTGGAGGTGATCCATGCACCTTCACTGACTTACTGAAGTCTGATGCTGATCATGAGGCTTCTGCACCTAATTGTTACAGTGTATGTCTGTGCTCTTTAGCAGTATTTTATGATACAGATTAAATTACCTGTGTAAGGTGATACTGTTACTAATTTTATGTTTATTCTTTTTTAAAGGGTGAGCTAAAGAGTAAAGGTGACATTGACTATGAAAGAAAAAGTGACATATATAAAGATATTGTTACATTTTTAAGGGAGAGATCACCTAGATTTGTAGAAAATATGGCTAAGCAGGTACGTATTTACTGAACTACGTGTATATTGTACTTTGTAATAATTGGTAAGAATTACGCTATAAACTTGTCTGAACATAATGTTCTTTATCAAAGTTAACTCTGATTAAATGCAGAATTTTAAAGACTGAAATGCCTTTATTTTACTTTGCATTTTTTCCAAGTTTCTACTAAATATATTGCTTTTGTAAATAGCTAGCTTATCATGTAAAAAGACAGTCTCTATTAAAGAAGTAGGAAACTTAAAAATATTTCTGTATTTACAGTACACTTTATTACTTACACTGCGTTGTTTTTTCAAAATCATTTTCCCAAGAATGTGAAGTGTGTTTCATTTATTAGTTTTATTTAATTTTATCATTTAATATATCTCTGTTGGGAAAAGTTGCCTTGTCAAAGTGCTGTACAGCACCTGGAGAAGCAGTGTGCATAGCTTCAAGTCCATATTTAATCATTTCTCCTCAGCCCTTTCATCCTATTTTCTGTGATACAGTGTATGAGTTTCCCAGTTTGTCTTTTAAATTCTATCATTATAAGCCATGATTGAAACAAAATTCAGAAGAGTTTGTATGAAAGGCTACATGCAGGCTGTGCCACCGTATCTTACGTATCTGGACTGTCCTCAGTTGCATGCTTCCTGAATTATTTCTCTCTCTGTGTCCCCATGTTTTAGTCTATCTGTTATCTGTCTGCAGGCATCACCCTTATTCTAATCACGGCTTGAGCTCAGACTATTTCTTATGCTTCTAAGAAGAATGTTGTAACCAACTTACTATTCTGATAATTGCAATGTAATTACAATTTTAAATGCAGTAGCTGCCAGTTTACGTTCAGGTAATTGCAGGATAGAAAGTACTGACATCACAGACATTATTTTATGGACTGTCTAAACCTTGTGTGAAATTACTTTGGGCTTCCCAATGAGTTAGCTCCACTGTTGTGAGATGGAACATACAAGTCTTACTAAGCAAAAATTGTTAACCCTTGCAAACATGTAATCCTGAAAAAAAATATACATTTGTGTTCAACAGTTCTATGATAAAAGCACAAAATGTGTGCTTAAAAGAAAGTCCCATGTTAAGAGTCCTAGTGTCTACTTAAAAAGCCTGGAGTTGCCTGGAACTCAGGAGTTATTTGTGGAGAGGGCCTGTACTACATGGCCTATTTCTCTGTAGCATAGCTGCAAACACATCTTCCCCCAGGAATTATCCTGATTGCCCGCTGCTGGAGCACAGACCTCTGTTGGAAAGTAATGACTCTGGAAGCCAAGTGCAACTGAATAATGGTTCAACTGAACCTAAGTTCAGCATGTTTTAGCAGAACATGTTTTGTCATCTGATGACCAAATAAATAAATAAATAAATAAAATAATAAAGGCACAAGCCACTGTCATATGTACATAAAAGTTTTCTAGAGGAAATAGGAAGCATAATACGAGCAAAGATAGAACACTTACATTGAACATGACACTTGATATGTACTATTAAAACTAGACTTCATAATACTTAATGTTATTAAAAAATGTTTAAATTTTGGAATCATGAATAGAGTTTTTTTCCCCATAATGTTTTGTGTTTGAAAGCAGATAACACGCTATTTTAGTAATCATTCTATCATACAGTATTATGTGTTTTGATCCAATATGTGAAGTCAGCTTCTAATTTTGCATAAAAAAATCTGCTTGTATTCTGGTATTATTCTTTATGGAGCACTGGAAATGTTAAAGGAGGAAAATATGATATCCTTATGGAAAAGGTCAACTTTTTATGACAATATTTTCCTGTGATCAAAACCACTTGAATTTTTATCTTCATTCTTTCTGACCCAAATATAAATAATAGCCCAATGTTTTTACAAGAATTGCCTGATTTAAATTTCAGAGCTAAGAGTTATGTATCCAGCTTACACAGTTGCTGTTGTTCCAGTCACTCAAAAATGCAAGGGCTTCTGGCATTTACTGCGAGTGCTAAACTAGGTAGAGTGAGGAGCATCATATTTTGTCTGCTACAACAGAATCACACAGTACCGCTACAATTTTAGTTGTTTCATCATTCCTGTCAAAAAACACTTTTTACAGACTTCTAGCATGCATATAACAGATTGATAACTTTGTGGTAAAATTCATTACAGGTTAAGTCTATCAGAAGTTTTGTTGTGGTTATTTATATTCAATTTTAATTGTTGTAAGGAGGAAATCATTAACAGGGAAATTTACATATGCTTAGGTTCCGACTTTGGGGGTTGTGGGACTGACATTTGCTTTTTTGAAATACAAAAGCTTGACGGTTTTGAAAGAACAGCATTTCATATTGCACACATAAATACATAGTAACAGTAATGGAATTAAATGTTCAGTTCTTCTGTTCAGAAGTGCAATGAGTTCTAAAATGCATTTTTATCCTATATGCAAATATTTCTTTAATGTTTTATCTACATACTGATTTACATTTCATAAATATGACAATATATGAATGTTTTAGATATAGTTACTGCTTTAATGTATTTTCAAAGTGGTTTGGCTTCATATGATGGTCATGGAAGCTAAAATAAGGTAGTATTTTAAATAAATATTAATAAATATTTAAAATATTAATAATTGTAAATATGAATATGGATGTTAAATAAAGCGTGTATCCTTCTTTACTGTTTTTCTGCCCTGCTTATAAATATAATGTAGCTATTCAAGAAATTCTTACATGCTAGATAAGAGTAAATAAATAGAATTTATCCCATTTTCCTTCAGTTGTCATATAGAATCATAGAACCATTTATTCTGTATTTCCTGTGTAAATTACTGAAGAATGTAAACTATACCATTTTAACAGTTTACACATATCATATCCTATTGCTTTTCTGATGATATAGTTCAGTACATTCTGCATTCTAAAGTTAAAATTTAAACAAGTTTAGACTGTAGAGCTGCGCTGCATTTTATTTAAAGGAAAATCAGCTCTACTCTAGAATTCTAAAAGGTACAGAAGTATTTTCAGGCTTCCCTGTATAAAATAAAATATGACTAGAAATAATTTTGATTGATTTTCTGAGGAGAGGAGAGCTTCAAAAAGTTTATTATGTATACATTTACTGCAAAGCCAATTAACTTTTATAATATCTCGTTTAAGCTAACATTTAGAAGTGCTGTGTTGGTATATAGCACTGTAGAAAACATGCTTTAAAAATGTGTTTAGCTGGTCTAGCAACAGCATCATTTCCCTCATGGTTTGACTATCATGGTAAGTTGTCTTGTTTAAAGTATGTTTTTAGAATGAGAGAATTAACAAGAATTAATTTACGATTGGGTGGTTGGGTCAGCAAGCCAGGAACAGCCGATTCTCATCAGAGACTAATCGAAGACAGACCATGCTGTGACAGTCTCCTTTAAAACTGCCTTGAATCAGATACATAAAGGAATGTCTTCACCTTTCTGGTAGTGACAGCTGCAATAATAATAAGTAACGATCATATGCTGTCTTTCCTGTGAAAATTGACTATGTTCCAATAGAAAATAACAGTTGACAAGAGTCCTTTCTGTTCTGGATATTTTTGATCAGCTATGGTACCAGACACAGACAGCTGAAGGATTCGTAGGTGCCACTCAGCTCCATTCTTGCATGTGACTTGTTCACCAATGTCTTGTCCTGAGAGACAGAAAATGAAAAAAATTAAATGGATTATATTTATATTCTGACTATAAAACTATTCTAAACTATATCAAATTAAATTACTTGGAACTGAAGTCTAGCAGTTTATCATAGCCTATCTTCAGTTTTATGTTCATTATTTTTTCTGTGGAATTTTTTTATAAATCCTTTATGCAGGGAAATAGTTTTTTTTTTTTATATAAATGGTCCATTGAAAGCAGAATGACTTGAGTCTTAAAACTCATTTGGAATTAGGTTCTATAAAAGCGCTTGTATCACAAATTACTTAACACAGTAGAAATTGAGCGACACTCAATATTCAGGTATATTCAAGAAGTTCCAAATTTAGCTCATTCATTTATTTCAAAAACTTTAGTTTGCATACAGTAACAGATACTTTTCAGATTAATTTAACATTTAATTCTTTTAAAGGTAATCTTATTGTATGCCTATACTTTAATTCCACATTTAATAAATACATTTTTTAATCACTGCATCCTGGAATTTTGCTTGTAACTTATTGTTTTAATGTGTGTTATTCATACTGCAGTATGGCTGACAAACCCTGTCTCCTTCTTTTGTTAGGAATATACTTTTTTTAAAGAACCAACGTATGAGAAAAATTATCAGCATGTAGAAGCAGTTGATGCTAAGGTCTCTGGCCAATCCCAGAACCATTATGATCACACAGAAAAGAATATACATGAGAAAGTGAAAAGTTCCGTTGCAAAAAGCAAATCCATTGAAAAGAAGAAATTAGAACCATCTGTGAAGTGGAAGAATACTGGGCTTTCTGCTGCCCGCAGGTAAGTAGTTATCATCTTTGTAATTGAATTTTCAATAGATCTCTCTAACCTGTGCTAGTGATTGGACTGCCTGTTACAGTTTGCATTATTATCCCAAGTTAAGAGCAATAAAATGAAGTCTACTGCATGCAAATGTCTAAGGAAAGAGACCTGACTAGCAGAGGAATTTCTTACTGTTCTTTCCTATCATATAACAATTTTGATGATGTTACAACAAGACAAGGCAGGGAAATTTCTTGTAACCATCTGCATTGCTTGGTCCTTCAGGACTGTCATGTGATAGTTTTGCTGCAAAGTGCCCTTTAAAGCAAGAAAGAGTAGACTATATAATCTGAACAACACTTTCTAAGGGAGGCAGAGGACGTCCAGGATGGAAAAACAAGATGACTCTTAATTATAATAACAATTTTTAATGTTTCCAAATCATATGAGCTTTTTTTCTAACTCCTTTTAGCAAGTCTTCACTAATGGGGCTATCTCAAAGTTTGGATACCCAAAACAAAGTACATATTGGATACTCCATTTTAGGTTTCTCTTCTGAAATCAGAACCCTATTTCTGATTTCATAATTTCTTATTTTGTGTTAATAGATGAAATTGAATATCTAAATAAAAGGCTTTGATTGCCATCTCACAAAAATAAAAGAGGTCAATATCCTCTCAGGTCTGCCATTTTGACATGTTGACATGTTGCAAGAAATGTTTTATGAGGTTTTGGGTGTGTCCTACAGTCATCAGTTAAAAAAAAAAAAAAAAAAAAGTGGTTTGCCAGGAAAAAGAGCTTATTTTTTCCACAATCATTATTTCTAGATGTAGATCTACATCTAGATATAGTCTAGATGTAGTGAAATTGGGTGTAATCATACTTTCATAAACAAACCGTGAGCATTCTCCCTTATTGTTATGACTGGGATAGGATGACCAACCCAGGCTCAAAAGGACATTTTGTTTTCACTATATTATAAATTAGGAACAAAAAAAGTACCAGTGATTTTGCCCAGCTGGGCCTGGGTTTCCTCTTGGAATATGAGGGAAGGAAGATATATTGTATGCACTATGATCAGTAAGCAATATGATCGTTTTTCACAAAATGTGTGGCTAAGCTCTATTTTTTTTTGCCACAGGAGAGTAGAGGCTATTCAATTACGTGAGTTAAAAAAGCAACCAAGACAAAGTAATGGAAGAAATATCCATCCAAAACCGTTAACATAAGGAAGCTTAGGATTTCCCTGAACTAGAATTTGCTGAGGAATATTCTGGAAAAGTATTCCTCTGTCGTTCTCCTGCTGCTACCTAGATAGATGCTATTCATCATAGTTAAAGACAGTAACCTAGGATAGATGGTCTGGCTACATATACTTATTCTTTGGTCTTGTGTTGCATACAGGTCAGCATAATGCAGATTTTCTAATATTCCACTGTTTTCTTCAAGAAAAATTAGTTACTTAAGACACAGAACACTTTCTTTTTAATGAAGGTTATTGTCCAGGTTCATAAACTCATCCGATCTATGTGTCCAACCGTAACTTTTGGTTATATATATGTAAAATAATATTTATTCTTTTTTTTTTTTAAATAAAAATGAATATTTTAGTGCCAAAGCTGCAAAAAAAATAAATGAAGAACAACGGAGAAGTAGTAGTGTGTCTACAAAATTCAAAAAGAAAGCCAGTTGTATTTCTTCTGCATCTGTTAAAATGCAATCATCTTTGAAATGGTATGGCTTACTTATTTTTCTTCCTTCAATTTTTTATTTTCTGTATCCACTGTATTTATCACCATACTTAATGTTTGGTAATGATAATTACATTTTGCCAATGCCATTGTAATGCAGAGTTGTCATATCTATTTAAAATATGCTTGTTCATTTTACTGTATAGCTGGGTAGGTGATGGTCTTTTTTCGTTTTTAGGAAAGTATCAAGCAAGTCTGAAGAAGTTAGTGAAAGTTCCTCAGAGACTGAGGAAGATGAAGAACAGCCTGTACGTCATCAGGAAGGAAACACTGATTTGCCATCAGAATACTGGGGAATTCAGAAACTTGCAAAATATTTAAAGGTAGGTTAGAAGTGTTGTTTAAAAAAAAAAAAAAAAAAGCCACTTTTTCCCTTCTATATCTGAGGTCACCAGACCAGCTCCTCATCCTTTTTTTCCACCCTTCCTTCGTTTTTTTTTTGTTTTGTTTGTTTTTTTGTTTGTTTGTTTTTTTTTGTTGCCCTGCTATGTTGCATGTTCAGATCCTGGAGCTGTGTGTTTTCTTATCACCCACCCTTTCTCCTGCATTTTTGATCTGCTGTTTTTGGCTTATATAGACCCTTAGAGTAAGCCATCTGTTCAGTGTTATTTAATACTTAAGATGGTATAATTTCTTTATTAATTATTAGGTTTCTGTTTTGCTTTTTGAAACTTTCCAAGATATTTCTTTATGTGGATAATAACTTTCAAGAGTTTTTATTAAAACTGAATACTTGCCTAAAGTCTTTCATCAACTATGATTAACGCATAACTGGAGTAGTTCTAACATGGTCTTGTGTCTGGATAGTTTCTGTTGGTGGGCAAGAAAGTGTATGATAAACAGGCATCCTCTAAAACAAACAAACAAAAAGTCTTTTTACACAGACCTGTTGAAAATCTTTTGGAGCCTATAAATACATATGTTTAGACTTCGGTGTATGTCTGAAAAAAAAACACATCACAAAACAAAGGCCTCTCCACCATTCTGGAAGACTCTAAAACTAATCATGTTTTTGCCTCAGGAGAAATTCCTTAACAAGTTTGTACAGGAATTTAAGTAATGTAAGTTACTAATAAAAGCACTGTCTTATCTGTTTCTTGGAGTACAGCTACAGCGTATGCTCATCCGACAGATAAAAACGATGGGGCTGGCATTTAGTTCAACAGATATACTAGCAAGGAATAAGAACAGCTTTGGTTCCTTCCAGTCCTTTAACCATTGCAGAAAAGTAACTCGGTCATTTAATGCACTCTCACTACTTGTGCTGTGTTTGTCCATGTGGACCTATTCTATTTGCTGTAGGACCTATTCTATTTTCTGTAGCCAAAAAAGCACAGAAATGCATTGATAAATACAAGTCCCTACAATTCATTACACTTTATCATTTCTAGGTTGGAACTTTATATTCTTGTTACTGTGGCTATGCTAAAGTAACCCTTTGCAAGCTTAATCTGGTGTAACATTCAGCATTTAACTTGTTCAGCTATAGGCTTCTGGAGAGCATACTTGAAAATCCCTACTATTGATAAATTCACAAAAATCTTTTAATTGGCCCATCTGTGGATCACCATCTTTACCAAAGGCTTTAAGGCTCTTCTCTCCTGATAATATATTTCTCAAAGTCCCTCTCCTCTTTAGATTCTTCCTATAGGCATGTTTGGATTTTAGTATTGGATGTGATTCAGTATTAAAACATACCTACACTTGCATGAAACCATTTTGAATGAAGTGTGAGAATAGCAAATAGGAAAATATATTTTTCATGTTCCTCCATTTTAGAACTGAGTATATTTTCTTCAAGATGTCAACAGGCAAAATTGCTTAATGGCTTAGAACTAGAATTAGGAAGGGGAGTGCTGTTGATCATATTGTGAATACCTGGTAGGATGTATTTGTAATACGAAATTCTATCGTATGAAAAGCTTTGTTTTGAAAATTCACATGTATGCTTGTAGTCATGCACACCCCTGTCTTCCAATAGCTCTTCAAATTAGAAATAAATTAAACAAAGTACTTGAAAATAAAAATAATTTTCTGTCAATTTTTAGCTACGTAAAGCAAGAAATCCCTAGTGTCAGATAAAGCTGAAAAGAGATGCCTCTGTGCCATACCACAGACAGTGGTTGAAATGCTTTATTGATGGAGTGCTACTTCAGCTTGCACATGGAATTCATTTTAATTCAAGTATAAATACTGCATTTCTGGCTAGACTTAGGAGATTTTTTGGCATTCTTGTTGTTCATGTAGGCAAGTGTTCATGACACATGCAACATAAGAGAAAATAAATTTATGACTATGTTATTTAAGTATCTACAAGCATATTTATATAGAAACACATTTTGGAGGACTCGTGTGTTTTCAAACGTTGAATACATTGTTTGCACATCTTAAAAAAATCAAATAAAATGCCTTAAATAATAGATGTTGGATATACCAAGTTAGAAAATACAGTAATTCATAGGTGCAACAGTTTTTGAATGTCTGCTAAAGTAAACAGGATTCACAGTTCAGCAAGACTCTATAACAGATCAATTTGCAAACGCTAAACTTCCATAAAGCCTGAAAGATATGTAGGTTTTATACCACTCTTGGATCGCTGTCTTAAAGAGACAGTTGCTTCCTGTGTAAAGCAAACTTGCTGGGTCCTGTGATCTGTACCGGCAGATGGTACAGGTTTTGACATGGACAAAAATCCAATGCAGGGGAAATTCCCTTCTGACTTTTTGCCCTTCCCCGTTTCCCCTCCTTTTTGGGAAGGAGCAGCCATGCTGGAATTGCTCCACTGGGAAGCAGCTGCTTCTGTGGTCTGGCTCGTTGTCCTACCTTCAGGCTTCCCAGGGCTGTGAAACAGAAGATAGAACATGTGTGCTCCTGTGTGTCTCCCCATCGGCTTAAGAGTGGGCAGCAAGGAGAGACCAGTGAGCTTGGTGATGGCGTTGTGTTAGGCATCGTTTGGGGCTAGAGCAGATAAAATTGTGATGAGGCACTCTGCTGATGTTTATCCTGAGGGAATCTCACTGTTACAGCCTGGTTCAGATTTTACATTATTTATTGAAATAGTCTTTCTGAAGTGTGAGATTTCTGGGGAAAGGACTACATTTTACATGTGGAAATTTTTAATAATAGGTGAAGAGACTGTATTTTACAGTGGTCTTTTTGCTAGAAATGGGGATCACTGGGTAGCAGAGCAGAATCTTTGCAGCAGAGCTGGGGTTGTTCTCCACTGAGGAAAAAAGAGAGAGAAAAGTGGTGAGAGCTGGGCATCATGCTTTGTGCTGCCTGCTGTCGAGCACCGATTATTGCCAGTTTTAAGATAAAATTGAGATGTTGAGAGGTGAACTGGGGCTAGTGACTGTGCCAGGAATAACTCTAATCTCAGAATAAGTCTTTAATCCTTTAAGCCCTTGTGTCGCTCACTTTTGGTTCCCTGTAAGGGTGTGATTAACATGTACTCTTATACCAGGGTGCGCTCCAGACAGAGGTCTGCAGGACCATAGCAACTGCAGAATTCTTCCTTCAATTTCTTACTTGGAAAGTCATTCTATTTTTGGCTCTGTTTTAGGGGTACACCAGTGAAACCAGTCAAGTTTCATGCTTCCTGTAAAACACCCGCTGATTTTGTTTCTGTTTTAAATGATTCCAGTCTGAGCAAATCCTTTCCTAGAGCAGCATTGTCCCTTTTCTACTTCAGAATTGTAGGTGAACAAACCTGATGCCTCTCCCTAGCTGTTTGCATCTTGTGCCATGTCCGGGAGCTGGAGAAAGGCTGTGGTGTGCAGAGGAGCTAGGGAGAAGGAACCTCACATATGGCTTTGAACACCAGCTCCCAGGTGCAGATGTGCCCAGGTGCTGCGTGGAAGTGGGCGGTGGGAAGGTCCCCCCAAAAGTCCTCAATTTATTTTAGGCAACTTGCTCAGGGAAATGAAAGTCAAAGAGATCAGAGCCATGGGTCTAGTTCTTTTAGTGTGTTTAGTGTGTGTGTTGCAGTGAGAATTGGTTGGGCAAGAGCTACAGCCCATCGTCTCCTTCGCGGTGTCAGCAGAGCAGAGGCAGAAAGCTGTTCTGTGGCTGCTGTACCACAGACAGAATTTATTTCCCTTTCTCAGGGAGCTCAAATTTATCAGTCAGGGAAATGCAGCTGTGTGTTGGCTTGCAGGAAGGCACAGTGGTTCTCTGGCTGAGCTTTTTTTTTTTTAGTACATGGAGGGCACTAGCGTTCTTGGGGAAGAAATGTACAGGTTAGGAATGCAGAAAGTCAAATAGACGGTGAAAATATGGAGGGAGGCTCTGCCAGGAGCTAAGATGAAGGATTTGGAATGAGGTGTTCACGTAGATATTGTTGATAAACAGTGTGGGAGGGTTTTCTTCCCCAGAAAAAGACAGAAAGGCATCTGGAGCTTGAAATTTAGGGGGCTGAGGCAAACCAGAGTGCAGGAAATCCATGTCTGCATGAAAGATAGAAGTGCGGACAACTAAAGTCGAAACTATTACAGGAACAGGGAGCCTATTTCATGACATTTGAAGACCACAGTCTTAAGTGGCAGAATTGTATATGTGAGGGAATTCTTTTGCAATCTTTACATGTGGTTTGCACTGTGGCATTTCGCTGCTCAGAGGGGAAGGAGGAGCAGCAGCAGTGATTCACGTACTTCCCTACTGTGCATTAGTATAAAGTCAATCACAATTTGACTCTAAGCTGAGCCTTGTCATATCCAAGGTCTAACATTTAGCTATCTGAAACTTCCTCATAAAATTTTGTGACAGAAAACATCCAGTCTTTCAAAAAGCAATCTTAGCCCTCCTGCAGTTCAGCAGGTGGTGTATACAGCAACTCTTTTATATGAACCAATTATAAATTTATGGCACTGGGGAAGACATTGATGTGACTAATATATTTTTTTTTCAAAACTTGTGTGAAATAGAGGATAGACACGGTATTTTTTTTAACTGTATAATGGAAAAGTATAGCTTTCTTAAGTTACAGTGGTGTTGGACATGTTCCATATTATTAAGATTACATTAGTTCTCATTATAAAATTTTAAATCAACTTCATAAACTATGCATGGATTAAGAAATCAATTTTGGGAGTAGTAGAATAGTGATTCTGTTTTATTTTCAAACACTGAACCTCAAAATAGACCTGAACATTTTAGCCTAAGGAACAAAATGTGTCTTCCAATACTAATTCATTTAAAGTGAAACTAATTAAAAGTTATTTGAAGTTGTATAAGACAAGAAAAAAATGGTATTAGTGTTACAGTGTACCCACTAAAGTATTAATTTCTTGCTTTACTTATTTTACATGTTGTAATAGTGCTTTAA